CCCTGAAAAAGATATGTTCATGTCCTAATCCCTAGAACCTGCAATATATCTTAAATGGTCCCAGAAACTGAGTGTTTGTGTTCCCTCAAATTCATATGTTGATACCTAATCCCCAGTTGTGATGGTATTTGAAGGTAAGGCCTTTAGGAGGCAATTAGGTCAGCAGGGTGAAGCCCTCATGAATAGGATTAGTGCCCTTATAATGAGGGCCCAGAGAGCTCCCTCTGCCAAGTGAAGACACAGTGAAAAACGGTTGTCTATGGGGACACCTGGGTGGCTCAGTCAGTTAAGCATCTGCCTTTGGCTCAGGTCATGATCTCAGGATCCTGGGATTGACCCCCACCTCCGGCCCCGGGGGGGGGGGGGGACTCAGTGGGGAGTCTGCTTCTCCCTTTACCTGCCACTCCCCCCTGCTTGTGTTCTCTTTCTCTCTGAGAAATAATAAGAAGAATAAATAAATAAAATCTTTAAAAAAAATTAAAGAAAAAAACTACACACCCACTTGGGAAAAAAAAGAAAGGGAAAAGAAAAGAAAAGAAAAGAAAAGAAAAGAAAAGAAAAGAAAAGAAAAGAAAAGAAAAGAAAAGAAAAATGGCTGTCTATGACACAGGAAAGGGCCCCAGACAGACACTGAATCTGCTGGCACCTTGATCTTAGACTTCCCAGCCTCCAGAACTGAGAGAAATAAATTCCTGCTATTTATAAGCCACCTAGTGTATGGTATTTTGTTACAGCAGCCCTAACAAACTAACATAAAAATTGGTACTTGGAGGGGGAGGCTGTCATAAGAAATAACTAAAAATGTGAAAGTGGATTTGAAACTGGGTATTAGGTAGAAGCTGGACCAGTTTTGAGGTGCATGAGAGAAAAAGGCTATTACCATAAAGAGATTATTTAGGGTGATTCTGATGACAAGCAATTAAGAAAAACGGAGACTGTAAAGAAAGCCTGAGTCTTCTTCAAGAATACCGAAGTTAATCCTAAACAGAATGTTCGTAGAAATATGGAGGGTAAAGGCCATTCAGGTGGGGTCTGACAGACACCAGGCACGTGTTATTAGACAGTGAGGGAAAGGCAATCCTTGTTCTAAAGTGGCTAAGAACTTGGCTGAACTGTGTTCATCTTCTAGCTCTACTGAAGAACTTGTGAGTGATGAAATCGCATGTTTAGCTGAAGTTATTGCTAAGCAAAGTGTCGAAGGAGTGGCCTTGGTTCCTCCTGACTCCTTATAGTAAAATGCCAGAAGAAAGAAATGATTTAAAGGTAGAACTCTTAATCAAAAAGGAAGCAGAATTTAAAGATTTGGAGAACTTTCAGCCGATCCATACTGAAGAGAATGAGAACGTGTGGTCAGACAAGAACACTCAGAGTGTGGGCAAAACCCTGTTTGGTAAAATCAGCCATCGCAACAGAAGCAGCGGCTATTGTTGAAGACAAAGGAAGAATCAACCCAAAGACAATTCAGAAATCATCAGAGCTGCCCTTTCCATCACAGGACCACAGTGCTAGGTCCCTGGGGGCAGAATGGTTTCAAAGGTGGGGCTGCCTGAAGGTGGTTTCAAAGGTGGGACCTTGGGGTGCATTGTTCAGTGCTGCCTCACATCATGGGCTCTGCACGCTGCACTCCAGAACTGAACTCCTTGGCTGCCCCGGGTGTAGCTCTAGCGGACACAGGAGGCAAACTTTGGTGGTATCCACACTCCTCTACCATCTCTTGTCAGTATGCAGAATGCAAGAGCCATGGGGGCATGGCTGCCTCCACCTGGATTCCAGAAGATGTCTGGAAGGGTTGCAGGATCAGGATCCTAATAAGGATAGCCACGGATATAAGACCCCATCCTGGCAGGGCAGAGCCCAGGCACAATACTTCTGCAGGGATAGGGCTACTGCAGAGAGCCCCAACGAGGGTGATGCTCAATGGAGCCCTGGGGACAGGGCTGTCCCCAAGAACCCTGAGAGTGTTCACACTAACTCTGAGAGCTGCAAAGATGAGACCATAGCCCAGTGGGTCCAGAAGGCAGAGCATCCAATAAAAGATTATTCTTGATCCTTAAGATCTAATGTTGTTTGCTCTAAAGATTTAATATTGGGTTTTAGACTTACTTGGAACCCCTTCCTTCTTTCCTATTTTTCCCTTTTGGAATGGGAATGTCTATCCTATGCCTGTCTCACCATTATATTTTGGAAGATTTCACAGGTTCATAGCTAGAGAAGAATTTGCCTCAGGATGAATCATACTTTGAGTCACACCCATATCTGATTTTGATATTTAGATGAGACTTTGGATTTTATACTTTTGAGTTGATGCTGTATCCTCCCAAAATTCATCTAACCTAATCCCCAATGTGATATTTGGAGGTGGGGCTTGTGGGAGGTAATTAGTTCATGAGGGTGGAGCCCTTGTGAATGAAATCAATGTCCTTATGAAAGAGGCCCATCAGATTTCCCTCACCCCTTCTGCCATGTGAGGGCACAAGAAGACAGCCATCCATGAACCAGGATGCTGGTTCCCACCAGACACAGAACTTGCTGGCACCTTCATCTTGGGCTTCCCAGCCTCCAGAAAGCCACCCAGCCTACGGTACTTTGCTGTTGCAGCCCCAACAGACTAAGGCTTATATCAAAAGAGGTGACTGAGTTAAGGATCTTGAAAGAGGAGCTGATCCTAAACTATCCAGGTGGTCCCTAAAGGCAACCACAGGTATATTTATAAGAGAGAGGCAAAGGGGGTTTAAAGCAGACACATAGAAGAGAAGACACACAGAGGAGGCACTGGTATGAAAATGGAGGCAGAGCATGAAGCCAGCCACAAGCCAGTCTTCTAGGTACATGTGAAAAGCTATTAACAGTTGGTGCCTTTGGAAAGAGGTGACATATAATTCATATGTTTTTGAAATGTTTAAATGTTCTATAATGAGTATATCTTAGTTTTCTATTAATCTTTACAAAAACGGCCAACACAAAACTTTAGTATGCAAATATATATCCCCTTATATATTAATTTGGTTGTGAGTTGTAGCAGATAGTTCTATTTGTACTACATATAGGATTTTCATGTCTTTTTTTAATGCTTTTTTTCCTGTTAGCTAAATTTTAATCATACTACAGTAAAAAGAAATTGGCCCCTGTTTCTAGATCTTACCTAGTAGTTTTCATGGTGTGGCTCCTAGTGGAGGAGCATAAGCATTACATAGTAACTTGGTAGATGCCTAAATTCTAAGGCACCAGCTCAGATCTGCTGGATGAAAACTCTGCGAGTGGGACCTAGCAAACCACATTCAATAAATCCCCCAGGTGATTCTCATGTACAACAATGTTTGAAAATTGCTGGTTAGGCTTTTTCTCTAACACACCTGCAAGAATTGGCTATAATTGTTGTAGTAAACTATCTACAGTTCTTGAGCCATCATGATGTTTCACCACTGCGTTTCACACCTGCTATTTCTTCCACTGGAAGTTTTCTTCACCACTATCTTCTTCCATCTGACTAACTTCTGTCTATAATTTAAGGTATAGATAGACCTCAGCTCCTGTACCTGTGAAGTCCAACTGTAACCCCAATCCTAACTCCCTGTGTATAATTTTACCATAACACGTATATCACGTAACACATATATCACACTTCCTTGGCACTCTCCCTTATTCTTGAGGACAGAATCTATCTTATTTAACTTTATTCTCAGAACTTGGTAGGTGTTCAATAAATATCCTCAAAGGAATGAAAGTGAAAGAGAAATGAGTGTCTTGGAAATAAGAATTTTTATCACTTATGAATTAGCATACAGATACGCAGTACAGAAAAAAAAAAAGTTAAACACCCTTGTGTCTGAAGTCAAAACTCCCTGAATTCCCTGAATTCTCACCACATTTGAGATGTGACATGTAATTTCTTAGTTTCCACTACTGTAAAATGAGAATTACTGTAAAATGAGAATTTTAACAGTGACTATCGCACAAACTTAGTGATCAGTTAAGCATTCAATAAAGCTCTAGTAATTATTAGAATTATTATCCAATAGCATTAACGGTATGCAATCTAGTTTGTCTGGATAAGAGGAGTCAGCCCAAACTTTTAAATATGTTTTCATGTCTAGAAAAAAACTTACCTGAGTATTTTACCTATTAGCACTTTAGGGAGGATTGTAATAGATCAGTGTGGTTTTACTCTGTCTCTCCTTTCCCTCTACAGTTTTCAAAGCCAAAAAATCCTTTCTGGAAATAAAGTCTTACTCAGAATCCTAGGACCTAAACCTGCTACTCTGGTTTATGGGGGGAGTCATAAAGATCCTAAATCTCTATCTATTATCATTCTGACTTCCTTCCTGAAATCGTCTCTAAGGTTCCTCTTAAAATACTTAGAATTCCTTGGAGCATAGTTGGAAAGCCATTCAGATTATCTTTCTTACCTTTCATATTCAGTGACATTCTCTGGTCAATCTGGAAAAAATGGAATTCTCTCTAACAGATTTTGGGTCTTCCATTTTGCATTTAGTCTTCAAAAATTGTCTGGTGTTTGTTTCTTTCTTCAATTTGAAAAGAAGGTAATAGACTGGCACTAAGGGGTGTTTAAAAAAAAATTCCTGGATTTTTCTAGGAAGATCACAGGGCCAGAGAATACCTTTTTCACTTTTCTATTAAAAAGCCCATTTCAAAAATCGAGTAAAGAAAAAAAATCCATAAGATCTCATGGGACCAATTACGAGATTCAGAAATATGCTAGAATCCCCTAGAAGTTTCTTTAAAATACAGTACCACTGGGGGCAGGATTAAGAAATAGTAGAAAAGCAAGGTGAGTCAACCTGGCCTGAGGCATGAAGTAATATGGTCTTCCATTTCACCAAGATAAGCTCCCCTGGTCTACTGACCCCTCTGCCCACCAGGTGGTTGAAGCTTCCTATGAAGCACTGCTCTTTTTAGAATCCTGAAAATATTTAGTTCCATCTATGACATGTCTCTTTGTCACCCAATGCCTTGTCAGCATAGTTTCATGATTCTAAAACCCCGGCCTCCTCTCTCCCTTGAGTAATCATGTTTATAGTAGGGGGAAACTAAAGACAACCTAATGCGCAAACTTGGGAAGTAGGTGAATATATTACTGTCATTCACTTGATAGACTGTTATACATATATCAAATGATAATTATGAAAATTGTGTAATAATATGGGAAATATTTATTATATAATGTTCAGTGAAAAAAGGATGATATGAACTTGTATGATAGCAAACTTCAAAATATGTGACAAAAAAGATGAATTAAAAAAAATACATACGGGGTGTCTGAGTGGCTCAGTCGGTTAACCATCCGACTCTTGATTTCAGCTCAGGTTTTGATCTCAGGGTCGTGAGTCTAAGCCCCGCGCTGGGCTCCACACTGGGCATGGAGCCTACTTAAAAAAAAATACATAGGCCATAATCTTAGGGGAGGTTTGTAGGAAAAAATACATATATATTTTTAATTATACTAATTTGAAATAACATTTATTATAATATCTTAATATATAAAATACCTTAAGTTAATCTTACACATCTAATTATTTGCCCTAATTTGGGGGTTTATGTCTGCTTTGAAAAATAGGTTAACTCATCTACAACCAATTCAAATATGGTTATTGTAAGAAATACAGTGAAACTGGAAGCTATATTTTTAAAGATCTTACCTCCATTTTTGTTTCCTTTTTGTCTTGTTTTATATTGTTTTGTTTTTAGTTATACCTAAATGAAATTATGAGGCTTTTCTATAAGTTGTAGAGAAGATACCCAGAGATGGTCTCCATGCATCAATTTAGATATAAATGACATTTGCTGATTATCAATTACCCACATAAATAACATTTGTTATAATGTTATAACATTGCCTCTGAACATATAAATAACATTGCCTCTGAAGTTACAAGTAAGCATCACTGATTAAGACACCTGACACTCTGACATGTGTTTTTTCTATTCTGTGTAGTGGTTATTGTCTCCATCTTGCAGACAATGAAACTGAAATTCAATCATGTTGAGCATCTGTTTTTGAGTCTATCTGCAGCAGCGGTTTCACTCCAGGACGGGGCTCTCACAGAGTTGAACACTGCAAATGTCCTACCATCTTCATGTTACTCTGCAATCATGGACTGCTGGTGGCGTTCATATATTGCCACCCTTTCTTCATCCTACTAGATTTTACCTGTTCCAATCCTTGCTTCGCTTTTAGTCACTTGCTTAGGATTTTTGCCCTCCCTCCCCCCATTTTACCTGGGTCCCTCCCCAGAGACTTCAGGAGACACTCAATTGGTTGGTAATTGCCAAAATAGGAAGAGGAAACAAAAGCTAGAGCCCACAGAAAATTAAGCATCTGTGGATTCAGGGAAACCATATCAGCAGTCAGGATTATAAAATTTAGAAGGGAAGGGCTGTGGAACTCTTAGGAACCTAATCAAGTTGACAGTTGTTTCTTCTACTATACATTTATGAGAGAATTCAATTGACAATTAATTTTTTTATTCCTAAGTATCTGTCCTGGTCTACCAATCTTTGCCATACTTCTCTGCAGGCAAAATATATTCTCTTCCCACTAACTTTGGACATGCTTCATCAATGGGATATAAACCAATAAAGTTTAGGCCATATCCAAGAGTCACCTTAAAGTATGTTTGCATGTTTTGACTCTATACCTATAATCCTTACCTTCTAATATGAAAACATGTCCCTAGATCTGTGAAAATGAGAATATGTTTGAAGCTCAGCCAAGAGCCAACCAGAGCAATAGTTGACCCATATATCCAAATAGCGTGAGTAAGAAATGATGTCTATTGTTGTAAGCCTTAAGATACTAAAGCTGTTTGATAGAACAACAAAATCTGAGGTGGTGTGTAAAACAAAATCCTAAAATGTGTGGCAATGGCTGCAGGGATAGGTAGATGGTTGAGAGGACCCTGTTAGAAGAGATGAGAGAAATGACAACTTATGTTAGGCAGAGACAAAACATTTGGTAAAACTATTTGTGTGTGATATCTTGGAAGGCAGAAAAGGCACACAAAGCAGTTGGGGTTTTGGGACAAGAGATGTGGATAAAGAACGTTGGTTGCATGAACTAATTTTAATTAGCTATATTTAATAAACGCTAGCAGCAGCAATGAGGTCATTAATAGATTTTATCTGTTTGCAAGCAGGGATGAAAAGGAAAAAGGGACGATCCATGTATTACTGGGACTTGCAGCGTTATAGGACACACTTTCCCCATATTTAGCTTGGTAAAAGATTCTCAAATTAAGACACTGTCCCAATGCAAAAACTGAATCGAAAGGTCACAAAAGCAGGGGAAAAAGACAAAACCGAGATTGTAGCCTTAAAGAGATTTTATTAAAGTCTCTTACAGGCTTAAGTCAGACACCAGTAAATTCTTTCAGTTAAAAAAAAAAAAATGGGAGTAAGGGTGGAGAAGGTATGAACAGTGCTAGAAGGTCTAGTAAACTTAAATTGTTTATAATTAACTCTATTTAGAGAGGCATATCTCACAAAGAACTGAGATTGTTCTTATTTATACTAACTAGAATCAAATAATTTAAAAAATATTTTTAAAAGGTTATATTATAAAATGTACTACAAGCCTAGATAGAAAGGAATAGTGTCTGTTGGACATGTAAAATGACCAAGTGATTAAAACGATTCCTATCCTGTATCTTGCTTTATGTGACATACAGAGATACAACACTGGAAAATTCAAATACATATATCACAATAAATGTCACTAAAGTGTTGTCACCCTTTGAGCAAGTGACATTCACATTGGCTCTTAGTTTCCTTATTTGTAAAAGGACAGCAGGATTAAGCGTTCTCTGAGGTCCCTTTCGGTTTCTATTTGATCCCATGACACTAAAATAGTTCTATTTTATAGACTTTCTTAGCCTGTGAAATACAAATTTCTTTCCTTCTCTGGAAAAATGCTACCACCATTCAAAAATAAGTAATGAGCAGATAGTCATTATTTGAGCAAGTTTTCCAAGATTCTAAAAACTATAGGCTGAATAAGGAAAAGTTCTTTTGAAAGAATCTTTTGAAGGAATTCCATTACGTAAGGGGATTAGGCAGTGTGCTTAAATACAAGATGCTCCTAAAGGCCAAGTATTAGCTCCTTAAGTGTGCTTAGAATTTTATTCAATTCCCATATTACAATTTAGTTTCCATAAAAATTATTATATGAGATCCTCAGAGGATCTGATATGTGTTTGAATGGTTTTTCATTATCAAGTTTAAAATAGTGAAGCATATTTCCTTGTTCTTTAACAGAGTATGTTCCCATAAACTTGGGACAATTTGGCTCAATGTTTCAAATAAATCACATGAAGATATTTTTCCAAGACAGAATGAAAACAGCACCTTCTACATTATATATTCAAAGTATTTTAAAGAACTATGTAATATTTCAACTCATAGACTATATATATTTAGTTCCCATATTAGCCCAATTTCTAAATCCTTAAATAAAAAAATTATACTATACAACTACCAAATGGGAATCATGTCATCATATATTGTTCAGTAAAAATATCATGTTTGACAGAATTTTAAATAGTCACTAAAGATACCATTAATAATGCCTAAGAATTGACTACTTATAAACACCAAAAGGTATTCCTCTTGTCAAACTTACATGTAAATTTTCTGACACTGACATTGGTGGGGACCGTTAACTTCAGTCATTTCTTAGAAAAGATCAATAAAACCTAGCTGAAATAAGAGAGCTGAAAGTGATTACTTTCATCCCGTTTTATGACTTTCTCAAGATTCAGTATGAAGATCTTCTCTAAGGAAGGTTCACTATGAAGTTCCCCAGAATTCACAATTTCAAGCCCTCCTATTTAGAACCTGATGTTATTGTTATGGGATATGCACTGAACACTGATAATGAAGTTGGCGCTGACTGGAACAAAAATGAACCCAAAGTTAAAAATAACCGGGATGAGAGCTACAGGAGTTGCTGAAAATAAATCAGTTGGTTCGATCCTGCTTGACACTTCTGGAAGGTCACCAGAAAGAAGCATCATCCCAAATGCAGAGAAAAGGAAATCAGCTCATTCCCTTTCTACTTTCCTTACAGTACTAGTTAAGACTGTGAATCCCACAAAAATACAGAAACAAATGCAGTCCCCTGAGAACAGATGACATACCTGCACCAAACCAAGTTAGAAGTAACAAAATTATTAGAACCTTTTCATCTTTGCACATTATATCCGTCGTTCCCCCACTTAGCTTTCTCCTAAAGGCCAGGAGGCTTCCCTCTCTCAGGTTTCACTGCCACCTGGCCAGGGAAGATACTGATAATTCCAAACCATTTAATCCTAATTTAATTTCTCTACCTTTTAATCGTTTTATTAGTTTGACTTTGTTTCCACCTTGTCCTTCTCACATAGATCTGGGCACCCACCCGCCCTCTCAGAGCAGAAACCCTTCTGCCTCACTGGGTACCACTCTATTCCAGGTGATTCACTCATAGTTGTTCTGACTCTGCCCATGCCAGGGAAGAGCTCTTAATTCCTTGCCCTGAGGCCTCCCCTACCTTCCTTCCTGCTTTACCAGAGAGCGCTAAGCTTTCTTTTGACTTTTTGTTTGCCAGTCCCACACATGCCAGTCTGACCGACAGCAGGACAAGCAGCCAGGGTAGGAACTGTGAGCTGCAACCCTTTCTCGCTAGGACTTTCCAAACCTGGGAACAGCAGAAAGGAGATGCCTATCTTTTACCCCCATAGCAAACAAACCTTTCCTTCCTGTTCTGTTCTAGACAAAAAGACAACCTTTTTTCTCACGCTAATTCATTTACTTATCATTATTAACGAAGTCTCTCTCTTGCCTTTTTAAGGGATTTGGTTCCAATAATTTTCACACTTCATTTTTAATTTTTAACATATTGGCCTTTTCTGGTTCTTTCCTTTAGTCTACAAAATGTGTATATCTCCTCAAGCCTAAAAAGAAGAGGAAAGTGGGGCGCCTGCGTGGCTCAGTCCGTTAAGCATCTCAGGTCATGATCCCAGGGTCCTGGAATCCAGCCTCACGCTGGGCTCCCTGCTCATCAGGGAGTCTCCCTCTGCCCACTGGGACTCACTCTCTTGCTCTCACTCTCTCACTCAAATAAATAAAATCTTAAAAACTAAAAAAGAATAGGAAAGCATGACCTTCTCTAGTGACTGTTTTTTCCTTGTACTGTCATTATATTTCTCTCATCTTCACTTCAAAACTTCATGCAAGGGCCAGCTTTCCTTATAACTTCTACTTTCTCACCACCTACTCATAATTCTTTGCTTTGAAACTTTCACTTGCAAGCTTCACTGAATAAATTTTCTCTTGAAAATGAGCTATGACTTCCTAATCTCCAAAATTATTGTGGCTCCTCTCATTAGAATTTCTATGGTATTTAACAATATTTAATTGTACTTTGTACTTGAGACTTTGGCTTCTATTTCACTATTTTACTACACCTCCTTCTATGGCTAGTTTTCCTCTTTAGGTCCAACATATGTGGGTTCTCATAAAGGCTATATTGTTGATTCTCTCTTCCCTTTCCTACTTTCCATAATATTGTCTACCTCTATAAACTCAGTTACCACTTTTAGACGTGGTGTGTTCCAATTCTCTATCCTTTGTAGCAATGCTTTTCCTAAGTTATAATTCTTTATTTCTTAGTACTTCCTACACATTTCAAAAGGATATCCCACTGAAATGTTAAATTCCCTTAAGTCTATTAATTGTAATAACAGTTCCTAGGCTGAAAAACCCTAAGTCCTTTCTTCTGCATGCATAATTTTCTCTAATAGCTCTTGAATGCATCTTTCTCTCCATTTCTCTTTTGACTACCATAGTTCACATCCCTGTTCATCTCACACTGTCCCCTAAGGAACTGTCTCATCTTCAGTATCCCTTACTTGCCTCCCATACCCCTCCACACATCCAGCTTCCCTTTGATGCACTTAGCAGGATTAATCTCCCAACAATATCCTCAGATTGGGTTACCCCACACCCAAAAACTTCAATGGCACTGCAGAGTCTTGAATTCAAGGCACTGCAAATTTGACTATTCTAAATCTTTCTTGCTCATTTTTACCATTCTCAATGCAATTTACCATTCTCTCTACTCTACTAGGGAACACCTGTCTCCCAGGATGTTTACAGACATTACAAGGATATAAATAATCAGGTAGCTTTGAGGAATTCTCTGCTAAATGGTGTATTTATTTCACAATTTCTCAAAGTCTTCAATTTGCTTTAGTTATAGGACAAAAAGCTCCCAGACTTGTTTTAGTGCAGGAAGTGTTTATTTTCCCTCCAAGAAATCTAGCACCCCTTCATTTACCCAACCCTCCTACATTGTCACATGAAGAAATAATACCCATCCTTCCATACAAATAAGCGATGCCTTTTAATATAAAATCATGAAAGTCTGGCTAATAATTTATAAGAAAGGAAAATCCACATTCTCTAAAGTCTCAAAGCTATTTGATTCTACCATACCATATTTTATTTTTGAAATTATTCATGTCTATCTCCCATCCTGGACTGTAAGTATCTTGAGACCATGAACCATGAATAAATCTTATTTATGTTCTCTATCGTAACTACCACAGTAACCTCAGATTGACTAAACAACTTCATTCTAGGATATATAAAATTTGACACTTTTTTTTAATAGTACTTCACTTCTAGCCCTTTAGAATGAAGAAATTTATGTACATTCAAATATATAAACTAGCACTTAGTAATAATATAATAATCCTAACATGGTGTTTGTTACTCATACAATCCTAAAACAGACATTGGGGCTAGAATCTGCAGATAATGACAAAATTTACTCAATGGATTTAGTTTAAATGGCTAAATTTATTTCAGTAAATGGAGTACAGGATTCACACAGCACTAAATGAAAGTAGGTAAATTTTGGTCTCACAGAAAACTTTTTAAAAGCCAGTCAAATTCCAGTCAAACTACTGAAAATTCCTGGTTTCACCCAGTTCTTTTGGGGTCAAACATGTAAAATTCATTACCAAGGAACTTGGGGAATAAAGCTGCATCAAGGGATTCATGGAGTCTGGGACTACTTGGCTCTAAGCTGGCCCCTCTAAGTGATGGAAATAAATATACCTTTGAATCTAGCCCTATCTTGAGAGGAGTTCAGACTGACTACACCATGTCCCTTAGAGACCTATGAAAATATAACCTGAATGTCACTAATGCCATCTATACCTAGAGCTGACTGACTCTCTCAAAGGAACCAGTAAGAGAGATCTCCATCCAAATATAAGAAATACTATAGGTTGAATCACTATTTGAAATATTACATTCAATAATAATTGACCTTAAAAAGGGGCTGCAAAATGAGAACCACTCTTCATCCCTCTTCATTCCCTACCATGCTTACACCTTTCTCTAACTAGATGCATCTCTTGATAAACAGAGAGATTATTATAGCAGACAATTTGGTTAGGAAAAATATTATCAATAATTTTTCTACAATTTTTGAAGCAGTTCTATTTTAAAGAAAATGTTTACAATGAGCAATGGAGGCTTCTAGATTCAAAGGAGAACAGTATGTTTATACAGAGGATTGTTCTGATTCAAGTAAAATGGAGGTTCCCAACTATGCTCAGAGAGCTAGTAAACTGAAGATGATTCTAGGAATCCATTTGCACGAATTGATTTTGTTTCATCATTGTTGTTGTTTAGTCTCGCTATGTGGCTACAGGCTGAGAGCTAAGTGCATGGAGACCTACAAAAGAGTAAAACAAAGCAGTAAACAAGATGGATGGCATGGTACCCGTACTGTCCAGTCTGCAGATTCTAATGGACAGAGAGTCCATTAGAAATGTTCTCCCAAGATTTTGAAGCTCTGTGCATACTGATGTTTTAAGATTCAGAAGATAAATTTGGTATAAATTTGCCCCCATTACTGCCTGCATCCCAGCTTCAGGTCCTAGATAATCAATTATTTTGGAGCATCAGAAGATAAGGTCTTTTCCATAGGCAATGTTTTGTTTTTGTTGTTGCTGTTGTTTCCACTGAGGGCATTAAGAATGGTGAGAAACAGTAGTGGCAAAGCTCACTTGATCTCTTTCTGATCTCATGTGATTCCTGGAAATATTTGGTGGAAGACTTTTCAGAGAATTCAAGGCCCTTGTGAAAAAGCAAAGGGTGAAGAGTCAGAAGAACTGGGATTATTAATATCAAACTGACTCCATATTCAGTTAATATTCAACAAATATCAATTGAAAGTCTACTATGGGGGCGCCTGGGTGGCTCAGTCGTTAAGCGTCTGCCTTTGGCTCAGGTCATGATCCCAGGGTCCTGGGATCAAGCCCCGCATCGGGCTCCCTGCTCAGCAGGAAGTCTGCTTCTCCCTCTTCCACTCTCCCTGCTTGTGTTCCCTCTCTCACTGTGTCTCTCTCTGTCAAATAAATAAATAAAATCTTAAAAAAAAAAAAAGAAAAGAAAGCCTACTATGTGCCAAGTGCAGTGGCTACAGTGCTGAACAAAATGAATTCCCACGGGTGTGTATTTCAGTGGGGGAGAAGTACAAAAAGAAAGTTATAAATATAAATAAGATAATTACATTTGATACCTTACATAAAGAAAATAAACAGGGTATTATGATAGAAATTCATCATCTGGGGCAGGGTAAACAATAAGAGTCTGCAAATAAAGTAGCCAGGGAAAGGAAAATGTGGAGGAAATTTTGTTTCACTTACGTCTAAAAAGCAGAAGCTGAGGAACCTTCTTCCTGACTTCTTCTCAATTCAAAACATGATAACAATCAAGATAATTCATCCTCAGTCTATGAGAAATAAGACTAGATATAATCCCTATGAAGTTCAAAGTTGTTTTTCAAATCTGGTTAATCATTATCTGGAAAACATTATATTGGAAAATGCCCTTCACTTCCTGTGACA